CCAGCCTTCCTGCTCCTCTGATGCTGCTTGGCCTGCTGTGTTCATCCAGCTCTACACCTTGTTATCTCAGATCCTCCAGCATCTGCGGTTCCTACTATCTCTGAAAGAGTTTTTTTCCTAATCAGGTTGATGGTGACTAGCTTATGAAAAGAGTTTTCAAATTATAAGCTTTTTTAAAAATTGTGACTGAATCTGATTTTTTTTCACTGCAACATGTTCAGTTTGATATCAGGAAAAAGAGTTTATAAAATTGTCATGTGCTCATTCTTTAATTCACTTGTTCTGTGTCAACTTTTAGGTTTCAAGATAAGCTCTCATTTGTCTTTAATTCTGACATTAAAAACATGTTAACAGATGCTTGGTCACATATTACAAGAACTCCTATAGCTTCAAGATTTAATTTTCAAATTGTTCAATATGGATGAGAAATCAACTCCCATTACTGCATTCATTTTGCTAACTGATCCATTTACTGTTACTTCCCTCTCTCTCAATCAGTAATTTATGGCCAAAAACACATGGTTTGATAACATGGTTCCCCCCCAGCATGGATGGGTCCTTTAATTACAGGAAGAGGTCCATCTTTTCCAGTGTATATCAGAATACAGGCAGGTTCATAATTCGCCTAGAGTGCTTTACGAGTAGAATCCACTTAACAGCCAGCTGGGCATGCTCTGGAAATTAAGAATTGAAGGAAAACATACCTTGGTAACATGTACGAAGGGGTTTTGATCAAGCTGATGGGTGAAGCTGGGGATATTAGTCTGATTTAGTGGTAGTACCCTTCCTCAAGTCAGAGGGTCAAAGGTTTAAATCCAATTTTAGGGTTTTGGGTGTATAACTTAGATTGACATTTCAATGCAGTTCAGATGGAATCCACACCCAGTGGATATGATGATAAACAGGGTAATAGTAAGCGCATAGACAGATCTAGAGGCATTATTAATTTGTATAATATTTATTTAAATGAAACACTATAAAAGATGGTAGGGCAGGTGATGTCTTATAGCAGCATTATGTGAGAGCTCATGGATCCCAATATACTCCAAGGCAAACAGGATCAGATTTTGGTTCATAGGAAGGACATGTTTGTCTACAGAAGATGTAAGCCAACTATCATATGGTCTATAAGCAGGAAATTCAGATTGAAATGCAGCGATAACTTATCCATTAATACAAACTCTCTTTCTGTAGCTGCTTTCAGATTATTTGAGGATCCAGACTTGGGTGGAACTGTCCAAGCTAATGACCCTTTATTACTTCCAACTGCTTTTGATCTTCAAGCTGGTGCTACAAATGTAAACTTTGATGAAAGCACCGAAGAATTATTCAGGTATTTATCTTGATTTTTAGGATTTTTGGAACAAATACTTTGCTGTTGGCCAGTATTACAAATTTTGGATCTTAGATATTCTCGGACATAGCAGTGGTAATAATTCCTGGAAGTATGTACCTTGTCTTCCGCTAGTATTACAGCCCAACACTCAATTATATGACCCTCAAATCTAGAGATGTTACATTCGGATATCTGTGTTTCCATGTGGATCCAGTATCTGAAGGTAAGCAAAGCCGAAAAATACATTGAGGTGATAAGACAAATTCATTGAAATTGCTTTATTTTTGATGTAAATGTGCACAAATTTACCAATGGGTTTTGCAGGTGGCAGAGGGGTGTGTGGCTATAAGATTTCTGGGGATAACTACCTGCTGCTCTCACGCCCCTTGACCTGTCCACAAGTTTAAGAGATAGTTGTGGTTTTAGCTGATCCATCCTTCAAGCACTCTGACACGTTCACGCACACTGGCACGTGCACATGTGTGTACACCGTTTCCACCTGGGGACCCCAATCCTGCCTCTGACACTTAGAATCTGGGCACTGCTTGCAGTACTGAATGTGGCCAGTGCTCTTGGGTCTGCAGAGAAATTCACCAGTCTGGTTAAACAGTAGCTCTGAGTTGGAATTTCCTCCCAGTGACAGTCGTATCTCACTTCTCTGGTGAATTGAAGCTCCCCACTGACTCTGCTACCCATTAAATTTTACCCAGCGTATCAACTGTAAATAAATCTTCTCCTTTATTTCATTGCTGTCCTCAGCCATGTCTCCTGTTGTCTTTGTGTGTTGACCAGCTTCCTTTGGACATTTCCTTTCTTCCTTAAACGTGGTCACCTGCATTTTAGCTGTCAGCGTAGAACTTTTGTATTTGCCTATTCTATCTCCACAGGATGTCAGAATTGAATCACTAAATTATGTCAACAGATTTATTTTTATGCTTCACTTTCTTTTGAGAATACATTGCCTTCATGTGACTTCTATTTAGAATCTGGGATCAGAGTCTCTATAAAAATGGAAGTACCAGTTTTTAAAAATGAAATACTAGATTTGAATTACTGATTTCTATGGGAAATCTGCTTCCTGCACTCGCTGACACTCTGTCAAGCATGGTGTGCTCTGGTATGAATTTTAGAAACGAAACACTTTTTTAGAGCAAGCAAGTTGCTAATTTTTTTTTTGAGACCACACCCCACTGATAGCTAGACACCGGCCTCAAAATGCTCAGCTGGAGCTTCCTGTTTCCAATCAGCACTGCTATTCTTGCTGTATCTCCTAGAAGGTCCCAACAGCACCACTGAGCTCTGGAACGGCCAGAGCTGCTTACCTGCTGGTAGCTCACAAAGGTGGAGCTTTCTCCCACTGAAGTGATGGCTTGCTGCTAAAGCACTATAGCGGCAGGACAGGCTTTTCAGAAGGTGGTCAATTTGCGACTGATTTTCCATGTTAGGGTATGGAGAGGGGACAGCCAGCCACCTCATTCGCACTCCAACATATGTTAAAAAATACGTACAGCTATCAAATAATAGTCATTCTTCATGTTCACCTTGTGTTTTTTTTTATTTTAAGGGTTGAAGATGACTTGGATAAGTTATTGAAGCTAAGTTCCAGCAACAAAGCCAAGCCAGGTGTACCACCCAAGCCAGGTGTACCACCCAAGCCAGGTGTACCACCCAAGCCAAGTGTACCTAAAAGGACAGAGTCCTCATCTGAAATAAAGAACAATCTTGCATCAGAACACAGTTCCTTTAAAAGCAAGGCAGCTGACATGGATGAACTGGATATTCTGAAATACATTCAAGAGAATGAGAAATTGAGTAGTGACACACTCGATCTCTTTTGAACAGACTGTCCAGCAATATCACACAACTGCATTAAGTAGTAACCCTCTATGACCTACCAGCAAAACATTATAAGCTCCAAATGCACTAAAACGATCTTCAGCAATATTCAGTTGCACTCGTGGATGGAAGAGACTTAATTAAAATTGCTACTTTTATGTTTCTGAGGCAAAAAAAAGGTTTTAAGTTGCTGAAGTTTCTGAATTAGAAAATAAGGGTTCCTGCTCATAGTTAAGAGATGGGATCAGAAAATTATAAGCAAGATAGCTACAATTTTTGACTATTTTCCCCCATCGAAGGTCATGGTAGCCAGGTAAATGCATTGGCTGGGTGACAATTTAAATAGACAATATATATGTAGCCAGAATGTAAGAGAAGGTTCTACAGGATTGTAAGTCTCAAAGAAGAAAATTGTGTGGCATATATTAATGGTTCATGAAGGAAATTTTTGAACCATCAAGTGATGCCTTTCTTTATTTGTTCTTACAAGAAAGAAATTTCTGATGGCATATAGCCTTACAAATTAAGACCTTTTTGGAAATTCAAAAAGAAAAATATCCATGCGTCTTGGCATTATTATCAGTTCTAAGTATCAGTTTGCAGTATTCGTTAACAATTGGGTATTGAACTCTCCCATCTACAATTGTTTATGTCAAAGTCAGAAATGGTAGCTTTCAAATGTATATATCTGTCTGTTGGAGAGAGGCTGTGGCTCAGATATTACTTTGATCTTCAGACTCCAGCCTGTACTTTCAGTTCAACAAGTGATGTTATGCAGGAGGTAGCAGCCATATTAAAATATAGGAGCAGCATTAGAAATGAAAATAGGCTGGGACTGGAAAAAGCTTACCTCTGGATCAAATACAAGTATCCCTGTTCCTCTCCAGCAATATTTATTGTAATGTAGCTTTCTCTCCGGCTTAGTTAAAACTATAGAGAAATTCTTCCAAGTGTATGAGGTAATATAAAGTATAGATATATATAATATGCATCAGTAGCAGTTTTTCCATTCCACTTAACTGCTAAATGTACAGTATTTTTTGAGAGAGGTTTTATATCTAATGAACTTTGAATTAAAAATTGCATTAGAATGTGCGGGTTAACTTGTTCAATATACCAATGGAGTATAATAAAGCATCTTGTACAAGTCAATGTAAATAGGAGGATTACATGTTTCCTGTTGGTTTTGCAAACTTGAGTGGAACAGGTTCTGGTTTTGTTACAAGTCTGTAATGAGTCACTGGATCTCAGCCAGATGGAAGAAAGGGCATTGCAATGGTCTTTGCCACCTGAAGTCAGGGGGAAATTGGGCAGATGTTTAATTCTGAATGATCCTGCTCTTGCTTGCAACCCCTACCCTTTCCCCTCACCCCCTCCCCCCACGTGCACACAAAACCAATGTCACCAATTCAACTCTTGCACTGTTTCTCCCAAGGTGTGTAGCAATATCATATGCACGGATGTAAAGTGAAGGGATGACTGGAGTTCTAACTGAGTAGAGACTCCAGTTTCATGGAGTGAAAATGTGATACAGATGAAGAAGCCTTTTCTCAATGTTTTCATGATGTTCTTAAAAGGCAGATTGGTTTCCAAATTCTTGAATATGATTTAAACGTTGCTTATGTGAAGGATATTCATTTAGTCATTGTAGTATAAAGACATGAAGATGAACTCGAGTGTTAATTGCTCATCCAAATGCATTGGAGAATGTTTTATTTTTTAAAAAAATGGATGTGCTGTCCAGGCAATTGTTTTCAAAACTACTGAATTCAACAATCAGAAGGGGTGACAAATATAGTGAGAGAAAGTGTAGTCACACTTGTCTTATGTGATCCTTTATCCACAAGCTCAATAACAGGCAATGAATCCACATTTGTCACACCTTACCTGGAGCCAAGCCTTGTGTGAATGTAGACAGGGAGTATAGAAAGTCATTCTAAATCAGTGTATCCTGCTGTTTTATCTGCCAGCCAAAACAGGAGGTGGGTTGAGAATTAACTGACTGCCTCTATCCTCAGGCAGCAGAGAAACTAAAGCTCCTTTTATATTGCACCAGTGTCAGAAAGACAGCTGAAGTAAAATGGCCAGTTTTGTCAAGGTGGGCAGCTGGAAAAGTGCTTTGCTTTGATAACTCTCATTTTCCAGTAACCTTCCAGTCTTAACATATCTATTGCCCACATGATTACAGCAAATGTTCATGTTTCTCTAGATTATCAACTGTCAGAAAGGTTTGACAGGAGTTTGATTCATGTAAAATTAAACAGTTGTCGTCCAGTTGGATGATGTGTGGTAGGTATTGCTGCATCTGTGTTGATGTCGTTAGTTCCACTGCAACACCTGACCAGTGTGGTGAAGGTCACTGAAAATCTAATGCATTTTTGTAAAATTAAATTTTGCATCACCTTCAGGCAAACAATTATACTCTGTCCTGATGAAATATTTATTGAATATGCAACGCTATAAGAATAGGGTAAAAATAATGAAACATTTTGATTATTGTCAGCATTGACTGTTTTTAATTAGGGCTATAAGAAATATAAATTGACACAAAACTGTCAAAAGCACTCTGGACTTTTTTGATTTGCTACTAACTGTATTTTGGACATGTACAAATTTGGGAAGGGTAACCTCCTTAAACTGGTATTAGTATGTATAATCCATAGGGAAAATTTAATGAGTAATTGATTGATTGGAGATTTCCTTTTGTGCAAGCATTTCTGAAGCTATTCTCTGATCTGTTTCTTTCCCCCCTCAATGTAGTCTACTGTCTGGACTGAACTAAGCTTTCCTGTGTATATAATTTATTTTCTGTGAACAGTACTTTAGGGCAACTAAAGTGCATTTAAACTTAGCAAGATCTATTTCAAAAAAGAAGAGAAGTCCAAAACAAATTTTGCAGTTAACTCTGTGTGCACACTTCATTTCGAAGTGACAAAAAGCATTGATTGCCAGATGTGAAGTTTTTTTTTATAAATGTATAAAGATGTTTGTGATATTCCAATGGTGCTTATTAGAAGAACATTTATTGTCTTCATTCAACTGGATCAGTTTATCCCCCTGAGCAAGACACAGATCACCTCCCAATGATTGGCTGGAAAATTCATCTGCCTGGTTTTTCAATGAAGACTGGATAAGGTTTTCAGATGACTCTATGTATCTGCTAACACTCAGTGGGGTTTTGCTTGGCAGGTGCATCTGTAGAAGTGCGTCATTCGCACCCATCTCCCCAATGCTAAATCTGACTCTTTGCTGCCTCATGCACATCCCACCTCCAATGATAGGAGTCACTTATAGCCAGCTGGTACCTATTGGAGGCTGGTTTGTCTCCTCACACTTAATGCACCAACATTATAACCAATCCTAAGTAAGACTAGGGAGACACCAATTGAATACTTGCTTGATAAAGGTTCGGCACATTTTATACCTGTACGGTAGGTGAAAGAAACTCGGAAATAATGGGTGCCTTTCATTTTGCCTAAGGCTTCACCAGCATTACAATATTCTGGGGCTTGGCTGGACAGCTGGTTTGCAATAAAGAGTGAGGCCAACAGTATGTGTTCAATTCCTGCACCGGCAAGGTTACGATGAAAGACTCTCTTCCTCAACCTTTCCCCTCACGAGGGGCAAGGTGACCCTTGGGCTAAACCACCACCAATCATCTCCTCCTAATGGGAGAGCAGTCCTATGGTCTGGTAAGACTATGGTGACTTCACTTGTGGCATTCTAGCAACTTAATATCTACTAAAATACAATTTTGTTGGGGTAATTGTCTAACCATCACTGAAACATTATTGGTCAGCAGAGTTTTGCTTCACACCGGAGAGAATCTGGTGGTCATTAAATCACTAGTTCCTTGCTTAAAATAAAACAGTTTTCTAATTGCTGAGAGATAGTAGGAACTGCCGATGCTGGAGAATCTGAGATAACAAGGTGTAGAGCTGAATGAACACAGCAGGCCAAGCAGCATCAGAGGAGCAGGAAAGCTGACATTTCGGGTCTGTACCCACCTTTTCTGAAGAAGGGTCTAGACCCAAAACGTCGGCTTTCCTGCTCCTCTGATGCTGCCTGGCCTGCTGTGTTCATCCAGCTCTACACCTTGTTATTTCTAATTGCTAAGTTTTGAGGCAATGCAAGAACAAGGCTGTAAAAAGCAGTGGAATCTGCCTTTGTTAGGAAAACAGAACCTTGCAATAGCATATTAATGGCTTACTGTGTATCCACCTATTTCTGAGAAATATAACGTGACAATGTCCAGAAATCATCTCCACTCGCAACAATGCAATTCTTTGATAATACTATTGTGTAGAGATAAATTGGTGCTGAGAGCCTGCTGTATGATTTTGGGTCTCTGGTGTCACGTGTTTATTAAATAACAGGATATAGCTGTCTCATACAGCCTTTCAGACTGTAATGAGCAGTAAAAAGTCATTGTTCTTTTCAGGAAACTAGGCGTCCACGAATTATAGTGTGATGTGAGTGCCAGCCAGAAAACTTGCTCTTCAAACTCAGCATATTTATCAAGACTTTCAAATAAGTAGGAAAGCTGAATATGTGAATAGCTACAAATGTGTCAGTCTCCACTAGAATATTGTAAATATTGAATCTAATCTACAGTATGCTTGCATTAGATTAAAGAAAAATTCTTTAGAATCCAGGATAACATGCTATTTTTTTGACTGTTTAGGAATTTAGTTTGCTTTCTTGCTCCTTATCCACATTTACTTTTCATCAAATTTAGTTACTTTTAAACAAAATTGTGCCTCTCCGTCATGAATCACCAATTTAAAACGAAAATCAAACACATTATGTATAAAAAGGGTGAGCTGCCCTCCCATACAATGAAAAGGAAAATTACCTCCATGTTTCTAATCAAAAGTTAAATCGGGTTTTGTGAAAGTGCATATTTATCAGTGTAAACTTTTTATGCAAGTTTTATTTTTATTGAATTACAATTCTGAGATGGAAATTTTGGAGTGAGTATTATTTTTCAAGTTTTCTTTTGAAACCTTAATCCTGCAGTCTCCAATTTCACAGCAGATGCCCTACTCTGAGTTGTATTAGGATCTACCACTGTGAGCATATCCTATCAGTTAGACCAGAAAACGTGCAGTGCATTTCAATTTGTACCTGCATGGAATTTTCTTGAAAAGAAAATGTTGGCATGTACCAAGATGGACCCAGCTGTTATACTTGATTGAAAAGCAGACCGCTGGGATACAAGCACACCAGTAATGAGGTATTAGATCAATGGGATAGCTTAACAAATAAAAGAGAAAGTAGCTGCTTATGCAACTAACCATACCATAATTTCTCCAGAGACCTTTGCTGTTCATTTCCTGAAAATTTCTCCTCTCTCAAAGCACAATATATGTTCAGGCTTTTCATTTAAACTGAAGGTAAATTGTACTTTGCGTGTTGCACTTTATAGCAAGCACAGTCACCTTCACTGTCTTCTGACTGTTACAATCTCGGTAAATTGCAAAATAAATGCACATCTTAATATGCTGATGGTTGCAAAAGACAAACACGTTTTGCCCAATCATGGTGGGCTTTTATATGTAAATATTACCTGTTTCCACACATTTGTACGGTTCATCCTACTGGATCATATTTTCTTCATATGCTGCATTAATTTCATGTTAAGCTAATGTTCTGAAATAAAACAGATGGATTAGAAAAATATAACATGAATGGGAACATTAATACTAGTTTTAATTCTAGAACTCATCACAAGTTTTTTTTTTAATTTATTTATGTGAATTGGGCGTTGCTGGTTAGGCCAGCATATATTGCCCATCCCTAATTATAGCCCAAAGCATAATTCCTGCTGGCTAGCCAGAAAAAAAAGGGTATTCTCCCCTCGTGTATCTCTAAGCTATATTTACAATGCAGTTCCTTTTAGCAGAATTGGCATCAGTTCAAACAATTCCAGTTGTCGTGATCTTATGTTCAATATTTTGGTAAGGTGATGGAGGTGTGGAAGCCCTAGTCTTGATGGAGATTCCACATTCCATCACTAATGAGATGCACTGTGATCCCTGCATCGTATTTCACTCCCATCAGCGTTTTTTTTTGTCTGAATTGTGCGTCGTATTGAGCTTGCATGCAATAAATTAGCAACAGGTTTTGACACTTCTTCAGGTACGAAATGTGAAATTAAGTGATCTGCAATTGCAGCTCCACTTGGTAAAAACAAGCTTGTCAAAATAATAAAGGTCTATTATTGCAAGCAGCTAAATGGAAAACTCACTCATTACTCCATGCATCTACAAATCATTCATAATAAATTTAATTCCATTACACGCATTCTTGGTTTTTTTTTTATTTCATTCACAGATGGTAGGCATGTCTGGCTTGACCAGTACTTATTGCTCATCCCTCGTCGCCCAGAGTGCGGTTGAGTGTTAACCATGTAGGTCAGACCAGGTGAGGATGGCAGTTTCCTTCCCTAAAGGACATTAGTGAACTAAATGGATTTTTCCGATGCTTGACAATGGTCATCCTTACACTCTTAATGCCACACTTTTTTTAAAATTGTAATTTGAATTTCACCATTTGCCAGGGTGAGATTTGAAACTAGGTCCCCAAAACATTACCTGAGTGTCTGGATTAATGCGTCTAGCAATAATACCACTAGGCCATCACCTCCTCTAAATATATTTGCCAATATATTTTAATACACTTGGTGATTGTATGTTACAGATTGCTCAGCGTTGAGACACTGTGCCAACATACACACTGATGACTATGAATAGTGATGGTAGAGATTCCAATGTCCTTTCCATCATATGATGGACAAAGATCTCTCTTGCCTTTACCTACTGCCATTGACATATTGCAAGGATTTGCTGCTTAATATTCAATCTGTTTAACTTTATTAAGAACCTACTTTACTTGCCCACAACATTCTGGGTTTTCAAAACTAAAACTTCTGAATGTGAAGCAGAAACACTCAATACTCTACCACAAGATCTCCCACGTTCACTTTTAAGCATTAGTAATGGTTGATCTATTTGATTTTATCATCATAATTTATTGCTGGCATGTAACTTTAATTTTCTACAAGTGGAAACATCGTCCCTATGTTTACAATATTAAAACCTTCCAAAATTTGAAAGATCTCACAAAGTCACCCTCTCTCCTTTCTTGACTCAAGAGAAAAGGGACTTACCCTATTCAATCTTTTATCGTTTTATTTTTGTGTCTCTAGCAATTTTTTTTTAGTACTTTTGTTTGAACCGTGTACACAGTATGCTATGTGTGATTGAACTGAAGATTTATGTAGATTTACTCCATAATTTTCTCTCGTGGGAGAATCTGTAACTAGAGGGTCAAAGTTTAAGATTAAAGGCACACCCACTGAAAACAGGACTATGGAACGTTCCTTTTTTTCCCAAAGTGTTTAGAGTCTTTGTAATTGCCTTCCACAAAAGGCAGTGGATGTAGAATCTTAAAATATTTTTAAGATAGAGGTAGTTAGATTCTTGGTGAGCAACGGAGTGAAAGATTATCAAGGCTATGCAGGAATGTAGAGTTCATGTTAAAATCAGATCAGCCATGATCTTATGGAATGGGGGAATCAGGCTCTGTTCCTTGTTTGCATGTTCAAATGTTCTCCACTTGTCAATTTTATTTCTCTAAAAAGTGAACTTTAGTGCATGGTTTTAATGGGCCTGTTAGCCTACATTATTATTGCTAGTGATTTGTGGGTCTGTACTCTCAGTTCCATTTGTTAGAACAAAAGCAAAGAACAATGTAACACAGGAGCAGGCCCTTCGGCACTCCAAGCCTGCGCTGCCACATTTTGCCCCTTTTTTGTTCTTAGAAAATAAGAAAATAAACAGATTCCAAGTAACATGTGACCTATTTTTCTCTCTAAAATGTAATGTTTTAAAGATATTTGCCAGGGACTAATTACATTCCCATTCCACAAGTTTATTTCCACTCTTTACTGGTGCAGATTTGTAATTGCTTGCAATCCTTGTCAGTATTGAATATCCTCCTCTGTTTGATGTCATTGACAAATTTAGAAATTGTCTTAGTAATTCCAGTCTAGATCATTAATATAAATAGTAAGTAGCAGTGGCGTCGACACTGATCTTTTTTTCCATTTTCTACCACCTGCCACTCTTGAGTAACTAACTACTCTCCAGTGTTACTCTGTCCTCTACCTGCAACCAGCTGATTAATCCATGCCAGTAACTAGTTATTATGAGAATTTCTGCCTCATTAATTACATGTGGTAAAACTTTCCATGTGCTAAGAACTTTTAGTTCCATGAGGTTAAAAATCTTCCATCTTCTCCTTTTTGATCTACACCAAAATGAGGAAAACAAATTACTTCCTCCTGATGTCTCAATTTTGAGAAGTTCTGTTAAAACACCACCCTGCAACCTGGCTGAGATTGCCTAATAACGTAGACCATGAAATCAAAATCGAAACCAGGCTGAATTTTTCTAGCTCCATGCTTGAAGGGTGGCAGGCAATGGAACTGGGTAAATAGAACAAGTAGAGTGGGACAATTTCCTGACATCAGAGAGCTTCTCCAGGACAGACTGGGAATTGGGACCGCTATCCACTCCTCAGAGGTAGGGCAGCAGTTAGGCTGGTTAGGGCCACTGGACATGTGGCAGTCAGATGACCATCAGAGCTGATGGCTCTGTGACTCATTGACAGGTTGCAAATGTATAAGGTTCAAGTTTCGGCTCAATGGATCTGTCAGCACCATATTATAGAAACGTCGATGATAAGAGCAGGCTCTTTGACCCCATGATTCTGCTCTGCTATTCAATATAATCATTGCTGGTCATCGAGCTCAATACCCTAACGTGCCCTCCCCCTATATATCTTTGTTCCTTTAGCCACAAGAGCTACATTTACCTCCTCTTTGAAAACTCAAAGTTTTGGC